AGAGAGAGAGAGAGAGACATTCCGGAATAAAGTATCGTAGTTAATAGCGATGGCGTAACTCGGTGAACCTCTCCTCCCTGCCTCTCTTTCTCTCTGTTCCCTGCTTACATCTTTGATTAATAGTTATCTCCCGTGTCGTGGACGTGCATTAGAAGTTAAGCGGGAACAAAAGTACGGCGAACGAGCGCTCGTGCAAGCAACAGCAGCAGCAGCAGCAGCAGCAGCAGCAGCACCAGCACCAGCAACGGTGGCAGCAGCGACAGCGACAGCATCTCTGCCGCGGCGATATAATTTGCGCAAATGTAGGAAGTAATATCGCGGGGACAACAAGAGCGTCTCGCGACGCGCTCTTTGCAAAATGCGCCTGGCTGAGCGCGCGAGCACGAGAGCGATGCGAGCTACACCGAGAGCGGGACAAAGGGACGCCGCTTTGTTTCGCCGTCTCTTTCTTCCCTTTCCTTTCTCTCGCACTCCCTCTCGCCGGCCCTATCCACCTCCAGCCGACCCGTTCCTCGCGTTGCCTTCCCGCGCCCTTTCGTGCCGGTTCGCCCGTGTCGTTTCGTGCTCCAGATTCCGCAGATTCTACGCGCCTCGCCCTCTCCATAGAGAGAGAGAGAGACAGAGAGAGAAAGAGAGGGAGAGAGGGAGGGAGGGAGGGAGGGAGAGAGGGAGATCGCCCGCACTGGATTTTATATCAAAAATCTCGCCGTTTATTGCTTTATTGCCTCTTCCCATGTAAAAGGAGGGCAGGAATATAACGTTGCATTTCCAACTCGTAAAATTACGCGTTTGATTTTATGGTTTATGATCATTATATATGCTACATCGTGAGATGCTTTGTGCATTCTGTTGATGTAAACGCAGATTTATAGACGCGTGTAGCATCAAAAAACATTTGTGTGGGATGGTTTGGGAAAAAGTGAGTATTAAATTGTGTTCGATGTTACTGACACATGTCGAATCTTACTTGCGTCAGTGACGATCGCTCATGAATTCGAAATATAAAGCACACATACAGTGATGAATTTTTTAATAGTCAATAGAACGAACGATCTATTGGTTGCAAGATTGGTTTTGTGAATGCTTGTTGTAACGGAAAAATATTGAAGGAAGAATATTCGGGAAGAGAAAGAATTAACTGAAAAAAATTACTCGAATACGACGTGGCCTCCGAATATTGTTTGGAGAGGGACTCTGCATTCGCGCGGCGATTGAAGAATTACGTTGTAATTGGTCGAATAAAAAATTGGGATTGTCGCATGAAAATGATCTGCCCGTTGGTCGGTCGTGAGCTTTTTCCGCGTATCAGGGGACAGAAAAAAATTTGTCGATGACAATCGCTAATCAAATCGTTCGGCGACTAATTGTTCGCCGAATGGCTCGTCCGAATTGGTACGAGGAGTGAAAATTGAAAATGTTCGCCGGAGGCTTCGTCGAGCTTTGAAAGAGAGGAAAGTCGGGCTAGACGGAACCATTCGCAACAACAAATTTCGTAATCGACATGAAAAAAAAAAGCGAATCTAAGGATATATCTTTTGCAAAAAGTTTTTTTTCTACAAATTTTAACAAGATTAATTAAAAGGAAGGATACTTGTGGATTGAGTCTAACGCGATTCGAAATGCCACTTTTGACACTACGGTCAGAGAGATTAGCGAAATTTCAAATTTTGTTTAATTACATCTCTCGTCTATATTATTTTACGTCCATTAATATACAAGCGATGTAAACGCGATATATTGAAACGCGTGTATTTAATCTTATCTCACGGAATTTAAGAGTACATGCGCGTGACAGGAGAACGTTATAAAAGTATATTCTCATTTTCGTATCAACCTTTCGCGATTTATGTAACAAGCTCGCCAACGCTAAAAACCCTTTAAAACCTCCATCGGTCTTTCTCGGCGCGTTTTACTTCCTCTCTCGGAATAATGGAAACGCTCCAAAGTTTTTACGGCCGCTCTCGCCTCTTCCTTGTCGCGCTGCTCGAACGCACCGAAATTCTTCTTTCCTCTTTAC